GGTTCAAGGAGGTTTGGTTCAACCGAAAATTAGGTGTTTTTTTGTTGAACCAACTTGGTTCAAGCCAGTTCAAAGGTTCATGTGGCCGGTTTAGCCTTGTTTTGAGTGATTCTTAACCAGTTTAGACTAGTTCCTAGGATTTTTAGGCCTTCTAAATCTGATTTTGAGGGTTTTGTGGCCAGTTTAGTTTGGTTTGAGATAATTTTAGGCTAGTTTAGGCCAGTTTAGGGGTTTTGGAGGCTGGTTTACTATGGTTCGAGGGTTTTGGAGGTTGGTTCTCTATTGTTCGAGGGTTGTTGAGTAAAATTATTGAGTGTTAACAAGTTATGTGGGTTATGGTGATGGGTAGTGGTGCCGCAAGGTGCGTGCTAGGGTGCTAGGATGGGATTTGAGATCGGGTTTGAACTATTGAGCCCGTTTCTTGTGCTAGTTTTGGTGATGGCGATGGTTTTGTGTGGTTTTGGTTACAGATATATCGGTGGAGGCACACCTAGACTAGTGAGTCGAGTAAGGGTGATTAGGACTTCCTTTTTGGTTCAGCTCTTATACAATGAGTGATGATACATTTTCTATACATGTGTTTTGCATACTGTGTTTTTGACATGATGGTTATGTGATTTCGTTAACTGTATTTTAGTTATATATTACACTTGGAATATGTGTTATGTGGTTTATGAACTATTAGTGAGTTATGTTGGTATGCAATACTGATTTTGAGATTTTGGATTGTACATGTATCTATTTTGGATTGATATGTGGAGAGTCGTGTGATGCACTAAGACCGTGTTGCCCTAGTGGGCATGATGCTTCGGTCGTGAGATGGAGGATGTCTTTCGACCAGGAGTGTGATATGGTTGCCCTAGTGGGCGTGATGTGTTGCTCGTAGTCAAGATTGATCTCGACTGGGAGTGTGGTTATGTTGGGCCTAATTGTGAGACAGATGATTCATTCAATCAAGGATGGAGTCTCATGTGATCATTGTACTTCCATATATATATATTTTGATAATGGTACTGCTTATTGTATATATGTATTTGTATGGTTTTGAATTTGTAATGTGATACATATCTCGACATGCATACATTAGGTATCATCCATACTCATTAAGTTTCACAACTCATATTTTATAAATATTCCAGATTTGGTTTGCTCTTCTTGAGTAGATACCAGAGTCGAGGCGGTCGTCTACAGATTTGATTGATGTATGGGCATGTACTTTTGCTTACCCTTTTGTACTTCAGTGCTCATTTACTACTCAGATAGGATTCTGGTCTTGTGTTTAAACAGTATAAGATATTTATGTGTTGTCTAGTTTTGAGTACGGTTGGTTGTTGTGAGACTGACTAGGGCCAGGGACCCTAATGTTGATCACGGGCCTGGGGTTTGGGCTATGACAGGCGGTCTAGATTCAAGCGGACTCAAGCAGTACTGGGTTCAGGCGGACTTGGGCAGTACTGGGTTTAGGCGGACTGGTTTCGGGCGGTTAGGGCCAAGTTACTCTCAGACCGGTTCGAGAAGTCCGATGCCAGCCGGGAGGCAATTACTGAGTGGTACATGGTGTTATGGAAGGATGAAGCTTCTATCGTCATCAATCAGAGCCGCTTTGCCTTCTCCACTATGAAACGCCCCAACAAGATCCGAGATCCGACCGACTTTGATTTTGGATCCGATCTGTGGGGCCAGTGCTTCGCCTCCTCCACAAATTGGCTCGACTTGCTTCGACAGTTCAGTTCAATGCAGCCGGCTTGGAGGACCAATTGAAGAGTGGTATCCATTAGTTGGACGGTGAACTTCCCTGCCAACGAGTTTTTGTCAGACATTGACTGCCACATGCGCTCACGTGGACACTGACCAGTTGGAAAGGCAAGAGACTGGTAGTCATTTCCATGTTAATGTGAAGTAAATACAAACAGAGAGAGAAAGAAATGAAAAGAAAGAAGAAAAAGTGGGTTCTATTGGCTTTCTCTCGAAGCTTTTGCCCTCTTTTCTTTTAAGCACTGGGTGTTACAGAAGAACTAGAAGAAGGACCAAATTCGTAGGCATTTAGAGAGGGACAAGAACAAACGAAGAAAAGTTCACAATCTGTAGATCTGTTGGTGCTTAAAAAGAAGAATGAACGATATACAGTTGCTAGCAAATTGCAATTGGGGTTCATTTTTTTTTTAAGGGGGGTTGCATAGTGTTTGATAAAGTTACAATTGCCAGGGGTCATCGATGTTCAATTGAACTGTTTTTTCTGACCTCCGTGCAACTCTAGTGGTGGCTAGCTAAGAGCTCTACTAGTGGCTAGCCTACGTTTTTGGTTAGTGCTGCTAGCCTATGTTGTTAAGTTTTTTGACCTACATTTTCAACTAGCAATTCCAACCAACATTACTGAGCTTTGGTGGCTACTTTGTTGCTTCAATGTGAGGGTATTTTGGTAATTTGAATTTTCATTCAGTATTTTTTCCACATTAAAGTTAATATTTATTGAATGAGAGATCATAATAAAGACATTGTGCAAATATGATAATTTTATCCAAAAATTGTCATATCCTATCTTAGTTACTGAATATGCCTTATATTTTTTTTAAATCCATACATTCATTTTTATTTGTTTTATAGTTTTAGATGAATCTTATTCAGAGTATTGTAACTACTCATCTCCAAATATACACTTTTACGAATTCAGAGACATTTCTCTTTTGTAAATAAAAGAGTGTCTTATTACTTATATCATATATGTTGGATAAAATATGCTCTATATGATTTATGCTAATGAAGTTTACAAAATTTGTTGCCCTAATATTATGTTGAATTTTATATGTTTGCTCATTTACTCATAAAATATGAACATTAAATGCTTATTTGATAATATTTACATTATCTGATTTGCGTTTATAAAAAAGGTTAATAGTAGGACGAAGAAAGTGAACATGGTATGAAAGAGCGAAAGAGAGAATAATGGAAATATATTAAAAGTAGAATAGTGGGAAAAAATGAATTTTTCGTGAACATTTGTAACCATATATTTTTTTTACAACTTGTTGCGCAAATCTCTCATTCTGCGATCTCTCACTCTATATTTCACTCCAATTGTCCCCTTCTACTCTTTACCTTTCATAAACATAAGCACAATTTATAGAAACATTACCAAATTAATCCTAAATTTAGTTATTAAAAGACTTAATAGATGTTTACATTTATCTATAAATTTGTAAAGTCATATTTTCTTTATTCATGTATGAGATTGATATTTCTTTCTTTCATTTATGTATGGATAGATACATACATATTCTCTTCATATATATATAGATATATATATATATATATGTATACATATAAATACCTTTGATTTCTACAATACATCTCATAATTAAAAAATTTGATACTTTGTACTCTAGTACATTTTGATCCTTTGCTTTATTAAGGTGCAAAATACCAAATTTGATAATTTTGAGAGTGTATATTGCAAACCACCTGAGTTTAGCACAAATCAAAAAGAGTTTAGGAAGACCCACATGGCCAGCATGTTGGTCACGTGTTCTTTCCTTTCTCATGATTCTCAAATGAATAATAATTATAATAAATGTTTGAAATTATTAGACCTAATTAACAAAAAGTAAGGGTAAAACCCATGAAATGTTTTAAACCCATAAGGGTAAAACGCCTATCCTTTAAAATAATATTTCAATTTATCTCCTAAAATTTATAATCATCATAAAAAAATGACTGTAAGAATTAATGTACTTACTTAATTTTTAAAACTAACGCTCATTAATTTACACTATTTACAGTATTAATAATTTAGTAAATATTATATATAAAATAATAGCCTTTATTATAATTAATATAAAAGAATCCACAGAGTTTAAACAAAATTTTAGATATTCTAAATTAAAATTCCAACTTCTATAAACTCTATTATATTAATTTTATTTTTTGAAAGAAGTTGCATATATATAAGGGTAAAAGTTGTCTAAACTTCTACTCTAGCTGGCAGAATGGGAAAATACTGAGACAAAATCCCCCGGCTAAATTTCCTACCTAATCATCCTCTCTTTGCAACTAATTCATTCCCTGTTCCGTCTACTTGATAAGACGAGATAACTTATAAATAAATAAATTATGTAAAATAGATACTATTTCTTACTGTTATATAAAATTTGATAAGTTGAATAAAATTTTAATTTAATTTAAATATATATTTAAATATTATATTTAATAGTGTAAGTAAAAGTAAAATAAGATATTAATTTATAGAAATATTCTCAGTGACAAGGATTCAATTCCAAAATTTTATTTGATAGAATTAGGGGGTATTATTTGATAATTTTGTATATAAAAATAGAGATATTTTAGTTATTATATAAAACAACTAGAGACTTGAATAAATTTAGAAAATTTTATTTTAGCCTCTTTGTCCATATAAATTATCTAATTCTAATAAAATAATTATTTATATCTAAATTTTTATACAACTTATTTATTTAATATACCAAACACAATTAAAACTGGACAAGATATCTTTATTTTTTCTTAGCCGGTCTATAAAAAATAAAAAAAAGAAGAAGAAAGCTTTATGTTGTTTCAACAGCAATCAAGCTTTCCCCGTCTCTCTCTCTCACCGCCTTCTCTCTGTATCCGTTGGAGTAGAGATGAAACTAATCAATGCGTTGCCATGTCCACTGTCTCTCTCTTTTATGCTATACTTGTTTGGTTGCCCCTTGCCATCGTGTTCACCATCATCAAACCTCCCATCACCACCTCCATTGACGGCGACTTTACAATCCCGCCGCCACTCCCCCACTCTCATCTCGGCTGCACGTCGCTTGCCCTCCAATGCGCTTCTCGAGGACCCCCTCAAATTCCATGTTTGCCCTTCTTTCTTCCTCCTGCATCCCTCTTCACTCTTTCAACTTCACCTAAAAGACTCTCATCTGGCCCAAGAAGAGTTTCAGCGACATGCTGAAGAATGGGCCCGATGCTTATGACCGCTGGGCGGCGCGCGGAAATACGTGATGCTCCCCGAAGTACCTTTTGAGAATTTCCGGACAGGGTCACAGTTCTTTGTGCTGACCCGCGAGCGCGCGAGGATGGTTGTGAGTGGCAGCAAGTTGTGGTCAAAGTTCAAGCTACCATGCTTGAAAAAATACATCTGTTACCCTGAGGAGCACTACTTCCCTACTTTAATCGGCATGAAGGACCCAGGCGGATGCATTCCAGCAACCCTTACCCACGTAGACTGGAGCATCAGACGGTACGGGCATCCCCGCATGTACAGGGCTTCTGAGGTGGGTCCAGACTTGATTGCGAAGTAAGAGGCCTAGATACGGTGAGGACAGACCCAACTGCTCAAGTTCCTTGGTGATCAAACGGACGTACCCATTCTTGTTTGCTAGGAAGTTCTCCGGGGACTCAATCCAGCCGTTGTTGAGAATAGCTCCCGACATCATCTTCAAAGATTAGTTTGGGAATTAGGGTGGCAGTATACCGAGAAAGAAAGGGACTAACTATGTTTTTGTGTCCTTAAAATAGGGGGATCTTTGGTCACACCATAGAGTTTGTCAATATGGTCCTTGAACTTGTAAACTGGCAATCAAATTGGTCGGTTTCGTTAATATCATCTTTGTCAGTAGTTCTGTAATGGCCCTAAAACTTTAAATTAATTTTTTTAATTTTAATTAAGTTGAAAGGGGGTGTTAGTGAACCAATTAAATGTTTTGGGGGTCAAACTAAAAATCTGGGAGGACCTGTCCGCAGAAATTAAAAGTTAGAGGGGATAAATTGAGAGAAATAGAAGAGGGGAGAGCTGGGTGTGAGGAGTCCTAAGTTTGGGGACCAATTTAAAATTCAGGAGGGGGCTAATTGCAAGAAAAGAAAATTTGGAGGGCTGGATTGTGACAGGGGCAAATTTTTGGTCGGAACCCAGCCGAAGCTCCTCGAACCTAAATTCGCTCCAATGGGAGCGAGACAGCTTACCAAGTTTTGGGTATATGTGCATGGATGAGAGATGAGTTTCGGTAGGTGCTCAATCGGAGAGATTAAGCGAGAAAGAGAGAGAGAGAGAACCGGGAAGGACCGACGGAACTTGATGCGATTTTTAGGGAAAATCTAATTTTGGAAGCCCAAATTAATCCGATTAAAGTTGATAACCAGCTTGGGAGACTCAGAATTCCAGTTCGGGGGTCTTGATTTGGTCAAGTGAGCTTTAAAATCTTTAAATTTTGAGGTTCGGGGGCTTTCCGGTGAGCTGCGAAAATCCAGGTTTGAGACCTGGGTTTCTGGGTGAAGAAGACGAGACCTAGACATCTAGGTCCTTGTGCAGGGCCGCCTCACCCTGTTGGGCCTGGGCTCAGCCTAGAGGAGTAGTAGGCCCGCGGGCTTGAGCCGCGGGCCAGCCTAGACAATGACTGGGCTGAGTTGACTTGCTGGGTCAACTCAGCCCAGTGGTAAAAAAAAGGGGGTTTAGGCTTTTGAGCAGGGTGAACCGGCCCATGTTGACCGAAAGGTTGACCGGCCGGTTTAAGGCTTTTTAGGTTGATTCTTTGGGCAAATGGACCAGTTCTCGGTTCAGGAGGATGAGGGTTATCAGACTGGGTGGGTTTTGGAGATTTTGGATGGCCGGTTCAGGGTAAACCGGCCGGTTTAGTGTGTCACCTTTGGGCGGCCGGTTCACAAGGTTTTTGGCCAGTTCATGGGAGGTTGAACCGGTTGCTAGTTTAACATGATGAAACCGAGCTAGCTATGGAATTTGGTAATGTTTGGGTGCCTGGTTCGAGGTGAACCGGGTTCGATTCAGTGTGCCGGTATTTAGAAGCAAGATTATTGGTCGGTTTAAGGGGTTTTTGGCCAATTCAGGATGGTTATTGGGGTTTTTGAGCCTTCTAAATCCGATTTTGAGGGTTTCATGGTTGGTTCAATTTGATTTGGTATACTTTTAGACCAAGTTGATTGGTTCAGGGTTTTTGGAGGCCAGTTCATTATCGTTGGGAGTGGTTGAAAAGAACTAATTAATGTTTGGAGTCATGAAGGTCTTGTTGTGGGGTAGTGGTGCCTCGAGATACGTGTCAAGAGCTTGAATACGGGGGAAGTCCTGAGCCACTTTCGATGAGTGAGTCTTTTGGAGTAAATTCGATTTCAATTCTGACTTGTGTCTTGGCAATTGTAGATACATCTGAGGAGGCACACCTTGGCTAGTGAGCGATCTGTCAAAGCTTTGGATTCCGGTTTTGACATGTCTGGTGAGTGACACTACTCTCTATACATGTGCTTGCATTCCGATTTTCTGTTAATTTCTGTGTTTTGATTTTTTGAACTATGTATTACTTCTAGGACATGTATTTATCTATTATAAAGTATGATAAGTTTGAAATTATTTCTATAATTAATTATATACCTGCCTCAGTGATACATGCGTTTAAAAAGTTAACCTGTCGGGAGTTTCTGTGACTTTGATTTAATTCCGGTTCGGATAAGGATGCCAAGGGCTTAGCTGACAGACGGTGGGTTTCCATAGCGTGCGGGGAGTGCTCTAGGTCCATATATGACTCTAATTCTGATACGGGATGTCAGGGGCTCAGCCGGTGGACGGTGAGTCATCGTAGCGTGTAGGGAGTGCCTTGGGTCCATATGTGACTCTGATTCTGATATAGATGTCAGGGGCTTAGCCGACGGGACGGTGGGTCGCTGTGGCGTGCGGGGAGTGCCCTGAGTCCATATGTTACTCTGATTCTAATACGGGATGCTAGGGGCTCAGTCGACGGATGGTGGGTCACCGTAGTGTGCAGGGAGTGCCCTGGGTCCATATGTGACTCCAATTCTGATACGGATGCCAAGGGCTCAGCCAGTGGACGATGGGTCACCGTAGTACGCAGGGAGTGCCTTAGGTCCATATGTGACTATGGTTCTGATATGTGATATGTTCTGATATTTCGACAGATTTCTAATTGTCACGCCCCGAACCCCAGGCCTATGACAGGCACTAAGGTCCCCGACCCTAGTAAGTCTCAGCACACCAGTCATATATCCGAAAGTACATATCATACATCAAGTGTAACAATATAACAACTAAACCACCTGGAATCTTGGTAAGAGTACAAGAAAGTTACTCTAGAATATAACAAAGAACAAATACAAAAAGAAGTGCTCATATATCCATTAAATCCTCTGACAGTCGCTTCGAAAACTGGCACGCTACTTGAGACGAGGACAATAACCTAAATCTAAAAAGTTTAAAAACTATGAGTCACGAAACTCAGTGAGTACAAATGATACCTAATCTATACATGTTGGGATATGTATCACGCCACAAGTACAAAACCATACATACACATACATATACACAATGAGCAATATCAGCATCAACACATCACATGTGGGAGTATGATGATCATTGAGACTCCCACCTTGATCGGAGGAATTTTCCATCTCATGATTAGGCCCAACACAATCACATACCATACTCCTCAAAGCCACACGCCCACCAAAGGCACCATACCATGCTCTTCAGAGCCACACGCCGACCAAGGGCACCATACCACGCTCCTTAGAGCCATACGTCCACCAAGGGCACTACGCCCACCAAAAGCAACCATATCATGCTCTCGGTCGAGAGGCATCCTTCATCTCACGACCAGAGTAAAACGGTCTTAGTGCATCACTAACTCCCCACATATCCAATCAACAAATATACGAACATATACAGTCTACAATCTCAAAGTAGTATCACATACCAACTTGTACAAGTCCAACGCATATGCATGTACCACATTTCAAGACCAGCATAATGTACAAACATAGCTCATTGTACAACAGTAAAATGCATAACACATATCCCGAGGTCTATGTAATAAAATACAGTTCCTAAAATCCATGCAGCCATCATGCTAGGAAAATAAGTATGAAAACACACGCATAAAGAGGGTATCATCACTCACAGTACAAGAGCTGAACAAAAAAGAACTCTTGATCACCCTCACCCAACTTGCTGATCTGGACGTGCCTCCACCAATGTATTTGTAACTAAAATCATACAAAACTATCACCATCATCAAGACCAACATAAGAAACGAGCTCAACAGCCCAAAATCAAGCTCAAATCCTATCCTGACACCCTGACATGCATTCCGAGTTACCACTACTCAACATCGAGACCCACACAACTCGCGAACACTCACCAAGTTTACTCAACAACCCTCAAACAAAGGTGAACCAACCTCCTCAATCCTTAAACCATAGTGAACTAGCATCCAAAACTCTCAAACTGACCTTAACCGGTCTAAACTTCCTCAAGCTCAACTAGATCAGCCATGAAACTCTCAAAATCAGACTCAGAAAGACCCAAAAACCCTAAGATCCGGCATGAACCAACCAAAAATGCCTTAAACTGGCCCTGAACCAGACCAAAAACCCTAATCTTAAGTACCAGCACACAAATCGAGCCCAATTCACCTTGAACCGGACATCCAAAAATCACCAAACTTCATGGTTACCTAGGTCTTATTATGCTGAACCAAGAACCAGTCCAAACTCCCCCCAAGAACCGATCTAAACATGGGTAAACTGGTCGCTCGAAGAGCATCACACTAAACCGACCGATTCAACAAAAATTACCCAAAACTATCAAGTTTGACAGCCCTCAACCCAATGGACCAAGAACCGGTTCACTTGCCCGGAAAACTAGCCGAAATAGCCTTGAATCGACTGGTCAAACCTCAGTCAACCCTGGCCGGTTCACCTTTCCAAAACCCTAATCCTATTATTCCAGTTTATATAATCCCCTACTATCCCCAATCATCCTTATCCTTTCTCATACAATCCTCGGGAATAACTTATCCCCAATTTCATTGAGTCAACCTGGATGGGTTGACTTGCCCCAACAACATAGGGCTGAGTTGACTCTCCGAGTCAACTCGGCCCAACCCATAAGGCCTAACCGACCTGGGCCAGCCCGCAGCCCAGGCCCAGTTTTCCCTTCTCAACTAGGCCAGCCTTGGCCCAACCCGGCCTGGCCCAACCAAGACAGGACCCAGACCCCTTCCAGGTCCTGTCTCCTTCACCCGGCAACCCGGGTCTTCAGACCTGATTGCCTGCAACTCCCGCCCAACCAGAAAAACAAGGAAAAGACCAAGACAAAATGGCTCACCTCAATCAATTGGCCACTCAAACCACAAAACAGGCCCCGATGAACCTCACCGAGCTTTTAATACGTTGAAAAGCCAGCCAAAAGCCCGGAAAGGCCTGTTGGTCCTCCGTACCCTCCGTCGGCTGAAAGCCTTGAAAATTTCCCACTCTCCCTCGCTTGAAGACTCAAATTAATTGAGGGGTTCGGTCGACCCCTTAAAAACACACACAAAGGTGCAAAAAGCCGACTAAAATCATTGCACAAGACCTGCTAATCCGGTGAGGAACATCATGCGGCCACTGTCCTATCAGTTTTCTACAAAAATTGCAGTTTAGTCCCCTAA